TGGTATCTTGAAAGATGACCGATCTCATCCCATATCGCTTTTCGCAATCAATAAAACGCTAGATGTTTAGAGAGCATAAATATTCATAGGAATAGACAGTAAGCATTTTATAATTTATTTGCGATGCTTTCAAAAAGCGAAGTGAGAAGGGATCGCTTCACCACCTCTCAGGGTTAATAAACGTGCGCGCACAGTGCAGATCCTTTCTATCTACATGAGTCTCCCGGTTATCGCTACAATGTACATATATATATATATATATATATATATATATATGACGTGTGCACATATTTTGCGGATCGTGAGAATACCGGAGGAAGTCCTGCGTTCAGCCACGTGCCTCGGGATTTAAACTCAAGGATGCCCGCGACCGTTAGAACTTCCACGAAGGCGAAAGCCTTTACGTAACGCGAGAGAGAAAAAAAAAGAACGGATACCGATCGTCTTCGAGTGTGTATTTACGATTCCCAGCGCTATTTCTATCCTCCTTTTTCGCATGTGACGACTAAATAGGTAAAGACTTGATCAGTTGAAAGTTGAATGGAGAGACATTGGAATGTGACAAAATATTTTGCGAATTTTTTCCTTAGCGACATTTTTCTTTTGCTAACTTTAATTCGCTGATATATTCCTCCTTTCCTAAAACACAAATTTGTCAATTAATAATTTAATCAAATAATGGTAAAGTAATTCGGCATTTTTTCCTTTTTAGTATATTTAATTTGTGGAAATGTTTCAATAATTGTTGTACACGAATACTTTATTGTTTTCAGTACCCGTATGACATGTTGGATCACACGTGACGAGGAAGCTCACGTGCACGTGTTTCGCATCGTCTCCATTCTCACTTTCAAATTTGAATGAAGCCAAATCGAATATCGGACGGAGATTCAAGCATTCCGTGCACGTTCTACGTCCGCTTCAGACTTTCGTTTTACTACACAAAGTAGAAAGTGAAAAGAATGATGCACAAATATGCGATTCGCGCATTCCACTTTTGCATCCTACGAATTTTTTCCGTCAAAATTCTAGTGGATCTGAAAAAGATTATGCGTTCGTTATATGCCACGGATTGCCACAAAATTTTGTCTTCATATATTTTTTTTTTAATTATTTACATTTTATAGAAATAAGATTTTTTATAAATACTTATTAGGCTATAAATTCAGATATGGTCGCGAATATGTAACGAGTTCTCATGGGTACTACATCGTAGGGATACGGATATACCGTGATTGCACACCTCCACTCGATACGAAAGCACGTATCATCCTTGAGATTTTAATACATTGATTTATGTTGATAAATCTTTCTAGTTGTTTTCAACTTTCTACTCGTTATCTAGGATTGATTCGTTACCACGATAACATTAATCGAATTCTATGAATTTAGTCCCGCGTGTATAGGCATACTACTAACCGTAGAGAAGTCTCGAATATAATCGATGTACACATGCCGTAACATAACCTCCTGCCAGGTCAATAACATAACCTTAGTAGAAATGACATCTAACCTCAGAAGTCCTATCTCTTAATTTGAGTCAGAAGGTTATTAGGACATTCCTGAAAGAAAAAAATGCATTCAATATGGTTGCTCAACTAGCCTCGTCACGTGTGTATTGGGTGATAAATCACACGCAAGTATTTATTTGCATAGTTTCACGAATTTCGCAACCGTTTACTTTTTTTCCCGCGACGCGTCCTGTGTGCACGAGACATTCCACCCAAATGGCACTCCCCTTTCGGTTCCTAGCATTCCCTCGCGACTGAACGCTTCATAACATATTCCCGACTTGTCCACGGCCGGGAACATAAACATATGTGCACCTGCAGAAAGTCAGTGCATCCAAGCAGCGAAGATTGCATTGCTAGGCTCCGCTAATTAGAAGCTCAATTACCGTGTATATCATTTCGAGTTTGATGCCAATTCCTCTCATCGATGTAAAACAGCTGCGGAGATGGAAAACACGTATATCCTGTGTAGCATGGTTGTCACATGTATATCAGATTAAATATACATATGCTCGTGTTTTATGGTGTTGGTCAGGAAGGGGGGGTGAACGACTTGAAGCGGTAAAAAAAAGCATAACTCTTACTCGAGACGTGATTGGTCATCAATCGACCAATTGACTCTCGATGGAATAGACCAATCAATTAGAAGAGGGCTGTGAGGTTATTAAAAAATTGGAAAATTAGTTATGCGAATTGCCGCTAGGTTACGATGCATCTTTCATTTTCTCATCTGGATACTTCAGTGATGGGAGATGTGCATCAAGAAATTAGTTACTTCAGGGATAGCAAACGATGTGTTTGTTGTTATATGTCGATATGTTTCGAAAAGAAAACAAAGTTTAGTAACGAAATGATTGCTCTTGAGGCGCAGATGTACATACACAATGGTGTAAATAACGAATGTAAAGACAAAAGAACATGTTACAAAAATTTCATCATAGATGAATTTTTTGAAACTTGACACTAACCTAAAAGAGTGTTGTTTATAAACCAATTTGTAAGTCCTGTTTCATGTCTCGAGAAGCTTTCTCAATCTAATGTTCGTCCATTTCTTTCTCTTTCTCTTTACCCTCAAACAGCTACGTGTACCGAGAGAGGAAGGTGACTGTATGATGCCTGTATGCGTGTATGTCTGGCATGCAATGGGAAGTTATGGAACGATAGCGCTTATAGGATGCCGCAAGTATACGTGTCGCGACATATAACATATGCGAAACGCAGATGGCTGGTGAACCTTATCGTTGCTATTATTTTTCATCCCTGAGCCTAAAAAGATACTCTTAACGTCCTATTGTATCTTAGTTGACTTAAAATTGGATGAAGTCAACTATATTAGTATTATTGGCCCAGTTGATTCATTCAAAATTGACTAATTAAGAATTCAAAGGTAATTTGTAATTTCCGGTGTTAAAATCTTATTCTTAATAACTATCAACATGAAATGTAAACTTAAATATAGTATTCGTAAATAATAATAATTAAAATTCTATGATGAAAATAATTAACTAAACACGTAATTAAGTATATAATTACATTTCCATTTAAATAATGGATTTATTTTTTCAGGAGATACTGCATGTTCTCAACAAATGTAAAAAGGAAAAGATGTGGACCTAGTCATTTTGATTAGTTTGGTAGTTTCAGTGTTAATATATAGTTATTGTTGATTTGGTTATTTTTTAAGAAACGAAAGTCATTCTTCACGAGTTATAATTTACTTTTTTTTGCAAATTTAGCCTAAACATTCAGTAACGTGAAAATGAAGAAACTTCATTTTAAATACTGCTCATATTGTAAACTTGTATACATCGTTTTGCTTGGGCGCCGCAGTGGCGTCTTTGCAGCTTGCTCTGACGGAACAAAGGGGTTAAACGATCGCCGTTTGGCGAAGGCTCGCACGATATAGCTGCGTGCAGCGGAAACGCTGTCGTGGCCTGCCTGAAACAGTAAACATAACAAGCTCTCGGACCGTTGCGTTTGATTTCTCTATGTGGAGGAGTACATAGAAGTATATATGTGTACTTCATCTCGAGCTGACCGGCTATCGTCGTCGAATTACGTCATCCTGCGAACATAGACTCCATAGTGGCTGGAATGTAAATATGTTACGATGACGTGCAGTCAACTGTTGGTTACTTAATTACACTTAACAATGGATTATTATGTAACAAGAACCGTAATCTTTTTATGAATGTGGAATTTTTTGCACTTTCCTTTGATCATTATCTTGAGGTTATTTTACTTCTTTTTTGTACCAGTAATATTTCTTTATAAAATTGAACAAATAATATACAATTTGTTTAATTAATTAGGTATTAAAAATGTATACGACGTACACATTGTTCCTAGTACTTTCTAAACTACTGAAAGAATCAAATTTAATCCTCTGAGCTATTTTTCTTTATTTTTTTATTAAGTACTTTAACGTACTTAATGGAACGAATACCATTTGGTCCAAGGTGAGGAACATCCTGTTGAATATTGAGATTAGGAAACTACTGTTTTGATTGGCGGAATTACTATAAATGACTGGCTAGTACAGAGGGTCTTTGAATATCCATCCATGAAGAACTTATATTCACTGTATGAGATACTTCTGAGTTAAAAGTATACCCTTTGAGATAAAAAAAAATTATATAAGGTCACAAGATCACAAGTCAAAAAAGTGAAGTAATAATTGGAGTAACCAAATGGAAGATTTCTGTAGTTCTTCGAGTTTGCTCAAGAATCTGTAGTAAAGAAGTGGAATCAAAAAGTAATAGCGGCGGAGGGGGTGCGAATGAATAACGATTATTTGCAAAGGAAGTGGACAGGAAATCCTTGAAGACGAAGAAGGAACACTTGTAACCGCAAAAGCTGACACTGGCTAGACTATGGTCAAGATTGCCTCTTGGTTGGCGGTTTGGGCAAGGGTGAAGAACAAAAGGGTGGCGAGTGCGCGATAGTTTCTTCGACAAAGAAAAGGAAAGAACGCGCGCAGGATGGATGGTCAGCCATCCGTGATTTCCCGTCTTTGCCTTTGTACTGGCAAAAAAAATGGCTATATCCGTTACACGTTCGCACGTTCAATTTTCTTGCGAATTTTGACATTCATCTTAAACCACACCCTTTTCATCTCAGCTTCAAATGTACTTTAAAAAAGTATAAAGTCTTATGGTACTGGCATGAGTGACTTTATGTCTGACAATGTACACATTGCTTCGGTTCAATGTTCCTGAGAAAAAAGATGGATTTTCATCTCAACATTAACTACTGATACCTCTTTTATAAATGTTGTTATTATTTCAAATTACAGTCAATGTAAGCTTTAATTTTTTTTTTGAGAAACTATTATAAAAAATTCCAGATATTGTAAATTAATATTTCTAATTGTGATATACACGAGTGTGTATCACGCTATTCGGAATCAGCGTACTGAAAATGCAAATTTCGAGTCTCTGGTTTCCAAGGAGTTGTCTAAAAACAATGTTTTTTTTTGTTTCTTTTTAGATCGCGGTCTGGGTACGATTCTAGTAGCGGCGGAGAGTCTGATAACGAGTACAATGCCATTGCCTGTCGTGGAGCTAGCAATCAGTCTCAAAATACAACCACAACAAATGCGAGCAATCATGGACAGGGAAAACACATAAACAAAGGAAGGTGGACCAAAGAGGAGGTAATGAAATCGAAGTTCTACATTAGATATTTTAAAACAGCTCAATCTTAACGTTAATTTATCATTACACATTTTATATTTTATAGTAATATTCGTATAAACTATTATATATTTTAATAATCAACATAATAATAAATGATAAAATATATACTGATGTTTATATAAATATATATGATATTTACTTACTTCTAATACTGTACATTATAATTGTTTAATATTTGAAACCTTTTTATCATAGAAAATGATAAAAATTTTTCAATTTTTCACAAAATTTCACAAGATTATTTACATTTAGATAAATATACAATTAAATAAATTTAATTATATCAGATTTCATGATGACTATTATAAGAACAAGGTTCCTCGCATTTTTTTCTTCCTTTCTGACGGAGAGATTTCAGAGAATGCACACGTGATCGCATCATCATACCGTGACTTTGATCGAATGTAACGCAAAAGGGGAGAAATACAATAAGCATAGACCTCGAAAAAAGGTCCACCCTTCATACCTTCTACAACGAGTTACGTCCATGGGCAGATGCCCTCGACCACCCCATAGTCATATGCGCGGCCATAGAGTACGGAGAACACCGTATGGTTTCCCGTGGGAAACATCACAGAGACCTATCGATCCTGTGCATTTGTTACATGACCTTTTTCCTTTCTTTCTTCCTCTTTTTCTTCTTTTAATCTTAATGCAGTATCGAAATAAGAAATTCATGGTATTCATTTTGATATTTTGGATATCTGCATTATTTCATTAATTTTATTCGCAGAATTATCCAAATTGTCTAATTCACATGACCTTCGTTTTCCCTTACTTCCAATTTCATCCTCTTTTCGTAGAAACGTACACAAATTCTGAAAAAAAAAAACTGAACTTCTTTTATCTCCTTCCATAAAAAGAGAAAAAAGTAAGAGCAAGAAAACGTTAACAAATAAAATTTTTCTAAAAATATCTTTATCGCCATATAACAAATGAAATCGTTATTTTTAAAAAATATAAATTATACCTTGTATATAAAAGCATATTGAGAGTTTACTTCATTAGTATGTACAAACAAAAAGAATGCAACATCTTTCTTCAATATTCAACTCGGATGAGTTCTTGCATCATGTCGCAAGTTTCACAAGTCTTGTGGATCAATGTTCGTCAAAAATTTCTTTTAAACGCACCTGTTTCAGAACGGGGTCACGCTTATCATAGTCACGCGCACTGTGTACTAAAGTTTAAGATACCACCTTAGTAAACCATCATTTTTCTATCCATATGTGTACATACAAAAAAGGTATATTCTCGTTGAAATGAATTCCAGGATGCTCTGTTAAAGCAACTAGTGAGCAACGCTGAGCAACTAGGGACTGGACTTCGATGGGACACTATAGCTGGGCACTTTCCAGACCGTAGTGATGTCCAGTGCCAACAAAGATGGGCGAAGGTTGTGAATCCGGAATTGGTTAAAGGACCGTGGACGAAAGAGGTAAATTGGAGAATTCAATTTTTATTGAATACTTCTTTGTAAAGGTAAACCTATGAAAAATGTAAAATGTGATATTTCAGTTATTATAAGTAAACTTTCTGAAATTTGGTATTCAGAACTTTGAAGATTTAAAAAATATAAGATTTTAAACGTTAATTGGTGATTGATGTTTGAGATGTACTTTCTTCATAATTAGGAGTCGTTCTGAAATTGTTCGGTATAGTAAGATTGCATTACAAAATTTTTTAGATGACCAACTAGTCTGTTAGTTTTATAAAAACCCGTTACACTCTTTTCACCCACCGAAGCCAAATATATTTAGTCGAGGAAGCTTTTGAATAATAGGTTGAATAATAAGTTTGAATAATGTAACGGTTCTTCGAAACTTTCCTTCAGAATCAACATTCTCATCTTACTCAACAACTCATTTAAATCAGTGGTTAATACGTTTGATATTTTAGTAGAATTTCAAAATCTAGTCTCAAAATGCCCTTGCAATATTTATAATACACAATCGCAGAAAAACAGTAACATGTGTGCTTTTATATCTACATTAGAGGTACCTTCAAACGTCTAGTAAACAAACATTGGAACGGTGTTTCTTCTGTTGACCATTAGATGTCACTAGTAACTCACACTATGTAGAGCCATTATTACCGCCAATAATAAGAGCGTCCTAACCAAACTAAATTCAGCACAGCTAACAAAACCCTAATCTGAATCAATTCTCTCGAAAACACTACAAAGTCCTCATTTTGTCGTCACCATGGCTTAAGACCAGGTTTCTTCAACTTGTCCAAAGCTCGAAGGTTCGAATTCATAACGGCACGGCCCTGCACAGCACGTACGCCTACACATAGCGAAGGCAAGGCTCTCTTTCTCTTCGTCTGTCTGCCGACGGTCGCCACGGTGGGGTATGCAACAAGAAAAAAAGCTGTGAGAGGTCCGCGGAGATGCTGCGTCGTCGTCGTGCCAATGCACTTGGCAACAGCCAAGGGCAAGTAAAACCTCTGAACATCGCGTACACGCCGTCATGGAGAACCGCGTTGGTGTGCACCTGATTCTTCATGGTATGGGAGCATCCTCGTTGCAACCTCTTGCTCTCTGTCCTTTCCTCTCCTTTTCGTTGCTTCTTTCCTCTGTGCACGACAATCATCTCCGCGTGTGTTCTCTTCTCCTTCCTTGCTAACGCCTTCTCGACCTACCGCTTCGTTCACCGCCTCCCTTCGACTCTTCTCCTCACCTTCGAGAAATTACTCGCGAGTTGAACCTGCCTTCCGGTGAGAACTTGCCCGATGGAGACTTTCACGGAGTTTAGTAACGTTGGGGGATAGAGTGTTGCATTTAGTGAGGTACTGAAATTCTTTGGAAAAAGTTGTTAATGTTTGGATGAATTATGTTTAATATGGCGTTGATTCGTGTTGAATTTAGGTTAGGTAGTCTGTACTAGGGTTTAGTAACATTCGGAAATCTAGATGTCGCATCTGATGGAAGATTAAGACTTTTAATTTATAGGTTTCATAATGTTCTGAAAGAAAATGGAGATATTTGTAACATCAGAATGATTTATATTAAATGGATATTTCGGAATTCGGTATTATGAGTGGTATATTGATTGAAGTTCGAAAAATAATATAACAGGAATTTTTATAGTCAGTAATTATATTAAACATTATACTTTGAGCAGGTATAGGATGAAATGTGAAATTTATCTTCTTATGAAAAAGTCAATCATAGTTTAAGCCTTCTAAGCAATTTATTTTTTTCGTAGAATATTTACAGTTTAAATATAAATAAAAATTTCAATATTATCCATGGCACAATTGAAGAGAGGAATGATAATTACCAAAAAGAAAAAATATTAAAATATTAAATTGTAGAAAATTAAATAAAATATTTAATTATACAAAATTATAAGAATTAATTTTACTGTTCTATCAATAGATCATAAGTACTTCAGTCATTCAATGTACTGATGACCGGTGATATTCGCAGGAGGATGAAAAAGTTGTAGAATTAGTGGAACGATACGGACCGAAGAAGTGGACGTTAATTGCGCGACATCTGAAGGGTCGTATTGGTAAGCAGTGTCGAGAACGATGGCACAACCATCTGAATCCAGGTATCAAGAAAACAGCGTGGACCGAGGCGGAGGACAGAATTATCGTAGAAGCGCACCGCAGGGTAGGCAATCAGTGGGCAAAAATAGCAAAATTACTGCCGGGCAGGACGGATAATGCGATCAAAAATCACTGGAATAGCACTATGAGGAGGAAATACGAATCTGAAGAGGGTAGATCCACCACTAGCACAAGAGGTTCTTATCAATTCGTTAATTTTATAATGTTTCAATTTTCTATATCAATACGAATTTCGATTCAAAATAAAGTTTGAGATTTCCAAAAGAAAATATCGATTTAGCTTAATGATTCAAAATAAGTGTATTTTACTAATGAAAGATTTGATAGAAGTAAATATGTTTAACAGGAAGAGGTAGAAGAAAAACCACAGAATCATCAGCGCCCTCTAAAGACAACCTGTGCACAGAGGAAGATATCTCAGGTCAGAGTCGTCTAAATACAGCGTCTAGTAATGACAACGCTACAACTCTGACCACTGTACAGCAGCATAATTTGGGCATTGACCAGCTGGACTGGACTAAGACTTGGGATAATCAACAGAACAATCAGACTTTTCAAGGTCTCCTGAATCTGAATGAACGTTCGCGCAATAACGAATCTCGGTTGGATTCACCTTCAAAAAGAGGAAGCTCTTCGAAAGTCAAGAGTGAACAAATTTCACCCTTTACTAAGTATGTCATCAATCAAGTTAAAGAAATAATAGATTTTTTAAGAACAATGTAGAACATTTAGCTACGTTTACTTTTGTAGGTACTTTGACTTACAAATCCAAGGTGAAGAGACCAGTTCAAAGAATTGTGAGATTAAATTAATGCCTATGCCAAACCTGGAAGAGATATCAGGTACGGTAACGGAGAAAGAAAGGAGTAGTCCACCTCCGATCCTCCGTCGACGACGAAACATTCAAGTTCTTCAGCAGCGGACGGAAACCCCTGACAGTGTAAACCAGCATGATTACTTAATAACAGTCCACCAACAGCAACAAACTGGTGACACAACCCCATCCACACCCATCAAACAACTGCCATTTAGTCCGTCACAGTTCTTGAACAGTCTGAGTCCTGAAACTTCGTCTTGGCCACGGGCGAGCACTCCTAAAGGTAGTAGTCCTGGTCCACTAACTACACCACAACCCACTGGTCTTCGACGAAGTCAAAATGGTACTTCATTTCTTTCAAGTTTTATTTGAATAATAATATTATTATAATAATATAATGTTACTATATTTTCATTACAGATGGCAACACGCCGAGGACGCCAACGCCGTTCAAAAATGCGCTAGCAGAATTAGAACGACGTAGCGGCGCGACTACTCAGTTACCTGCCACCCCCAGTCGCCTAGATGCGCTAACCGAAATCATTAAACAGGAAACCGATCGTGAAAGTCTAGCAGGGACTAGTACTATTCTCCAGGACTCTGGTTATAGCACGATTAGGCGACGGGGTAAAGAGAATAGTGCTCCTGGTGGAAAGAGAGCGCGCAAAGCTCTCTGTCAAGCCTGGGCAAACGCTTCTCAGGATAATTCCGAAATGAGTTTCGTTGTAGAAACACCCGTAAGTTAAACATCAATAATTAAAATTATTTTATACTATTAAGTTAAATCACCGAAAATTAATTAACTAACATATTTTATGTTATATTGCAGAGTAAAAGTTTGGACACGTCGGTATTGTTTTCGCCGGCATCCATGGCATTGGAGGATAGTTTCCTAACAGCAGGAACTAGTCCTGTAAAGGTAGAAAACCATGTCCATACTCAAACACACATTCAAACTCAACCAGCCCTATCCTGGTATTATTCCCGTACCAATCGCCTTTAGACACGCTAGCCGGCCTTTTCTTAACTTTCTTATTTTAACACTTTGTCTTTTTCTTTCCTACGTCTTAATCAATTTTGCCTGCCTGATTAACGTTAAATAAGTCTTATTCCTTCTTTTTCTTTCTCTTCGATCTTCCCTATTTTTTAATTTATAACTAATTGTGAAACACCAAGGCGTGCGAGGAATTACTTAACTTTGCATTTATCCCTCGTAGTCTGATCATGGTTATCTATTCCATTTTGTTGCCCTGGTATCGCCCAATCCAAAGATTATTAGCGTCTTTTTTCTTAAGTTTTAAGTATATAATTATAAAATAACACGACTAACATTAATAACAACGTAAAATATTGATTTGATCTATTTATATGATTAACTTATTTTTGTTCTTTATGACAACGCGTATGCCTTCCCTGTTAAATTATTTATGTGTTTGTAATTACGTTTATACTTAAAACGACTTGTAATGATGGATAAAAGAATGAAAAACTTGGTGTTAGTTATCACTAACAATAAGTCGTGGAGGTATAATTTCCTAAAAGGAGCCAACACCATGAAGTACTTAAGTTATTTTTTTTGCGCGTATTACAGTGTTTATTTTTGGCCGACGTTCATTTGCTGTTGCTCTGCATTGTAAAGTTTTGAGTTACAAATGATAGTCGGTGTGTACAGTTAATCTTGTTTCGTTTTTGTTTGCTTCATTTTTCTTTCCTTACAATTAATGTTTCAAAAAATTAAGTTATTTGCTAAATCCATTTCATTATCTCTTTGTCTTTTTTGTTGACGGTTATTCGTGTAAATTATTCACGTACGTTGGGAGCGAAGTGAACTAGAAACAATTATCTCGGTGAAACGAATAAATTAATTTATTATTTATTGTTATATGACGTAAAATCCCATAATTACATAGAAAAAAAGAAAGAACAATAATACTAAAGTCGTTTTCATAGTACTACTAATAATTTTTAACATTGAAATGTAAATTATCGTAAGAGTAATCCTGTGCACAGCAGGTTAAACGCGTGTACGTAAATTTCTAATAAAATACTAGTATGTAAATGCTATAAAATGTATATTTAATACTTAATTACAAGACATAGATTGTACCGAAATGTTTTTAGCTTCAGTTTCGTCTCCCTACTCTTTTATTTATTTCAATATTAAGCAGAATATGGGTCACCGGTGACCCATGCATCATGGAACATGCTAATAATTGTTACATACGTCCCCGGTATATATATCCTTGTAACTCCTTCGTCCTTTGATTTAATCCCGAATTTAATCCCGCACAATTATATATAATATATATATAGATATATACATAAAGATAGAGTAAAACGCCCTTGTACAGGCCTGGCCTAGCGTACCAAAGTATCTTTCTTGTCCTTTCTACTATCCTGTCCTGAAAGTCGACAAGTCCAAAGAACAATTTTGAACAGTGGCTCTACTGGTCGTGAGATGCTACTCTCCGATTTGCAATCACGCGAAGAAAAAAAGAAAAGAAAAAACAAAATACAAAAGGGCTAGTCATTCTACGATAAAACGTAGTAGTTTCCCTAGCATGCGTGTGAAACGTACCCCAGTGAGAAAATACGAATACGTAAAAAGGGCGAGCTAACGTGCAGTCCCGTAAACCCTCGAATAAGCTTCCATAACCTCTTTGTTTTTCTCTGACTGTATCCTTTCTATTTCCACTTCTCTCTCACTTTTACTCTGCTCCCCCTCTCTTTTTCTTTTTTATGAATCTTTCAACCGTGACTTTTGAAACATTCTGTATCGACGGTAAAATTTTAATCTTATTAGTTATACATTCTTTTTTTTTTGTTTTTGAAAAAAAAAAAAAAAATAAAAGGATAAAAAAGAAAACTGAAATAATTTTCGGGTAAACATTTTCTAAGTGCGTTCTTTTAATCGCCGGCTGTAGCTAGTGTGTCTATCCTTTCCAGACTTCCCACGACTTTGTGTCCGTACAACGGAAGCCTAACGCCAAGAGGGCGATCACGTTCGACGCGTTCGACAGTCCCTGTTGTATCCTCAGCCCCCTGCCGCTTAGGCCAGTCAAACGCACTAAGGTGAGTTTTTTATTTGAAAATTGGTTTACTATTTCCTCCCTGATGTTGTTACTAGGGACAGAGATTTGATATTTTCGTGTCAAATTTCTGTTCTCGTCGTTCGGGTACTTAATTTTCATATATTGGAAAGACCTGTTGTGATCGGATTTCGTTTCATTCTAGGACCTTGTAATATTAAATAGCTTGTATAAAATAATTATTACATATATCGTATAAGTGTCGAAGTTAATTAACTTAATTTCAATATTTTTAATCTATTAATATCGAAAAATCTATAATTTTATTTTTATTCTAAATTTGTTGTAATTACAGTTACACTTGGAAGCACAATGGACAACAGTAGCATGTGGACGTACGCGCGATCAGCTTGAAATGACACGAGCAGCTCGACGATTTCTCAGTAGCCATGGATACCTGCCGTTGCGTCCTCGTTCTCTGAATTTCTGAAAGTCTTTCTACAGACGTAGAGACTCGGTCGCACTTCGTGGTACAAAAAACGCGACGTTGAACTAGTCGTAATTAGATCTATGCGGCACTTCCGTTTAAGGAATATGGCCTTTTCCTGTCAAATCTATCGGGCGAAATAAAAAAGCACAAGAAAGAAAATAGAAAGATAAATCTATTAGGCAATTTTACAGGCTGAATATGAATGCGTTATGCATTTGAATAACTTTTGATGAGTATATAATTGCGGATATAATATCAAGGTATTCTAATGTATAGCGCATGTAGAAGCAGTCAATATTTTTTTTTTTTTTTTCGTAATGGAAAAACCACGGTGCACCTGAAATTGCATCTTAAAAGGAGAGAGAATGTCATGCTTTACTGATACTTCTATTTACAATTTGTTCTCAGCGGGATACACGTGAAACGCGTATAAACCGCAGAAAGGAAAGCAAAGCAAAAGACACTTCTGCCCTTTTTTGCGAGTGATAGGAAATTGCTACTATGGTAATATGTAGTTAATGATGAATGTAGAAAGAAAAAGTGAATCTCATATTTTCCCATTTCCGTAAATATTGCTTGTTCCTGATGGGATACGTACAAATTATATGCGTTCACTTGCAATTTTTTTAAGGAACAACAGGAGTAGCAATATTTATGTAAAGAAAGTTACGTGTAGAGTATGATACTACATACAATTTATTTTGTACTTGATGCATTGCAAACCATCTACCATATAAAGTAGCGACGTCTTATCACGTCCGTATGAAAAGATAAAAGAATGAAATAATAGCCGGTTTATTTGATAAAATAGTATATATTATATAATATAAAACAAAAGCATTATTGCGGCCGTTATGTACAAAGAGCCTTTGTAACTGGTATTTAATTTACAACTGAATAATAAAGACGTGATGATAATCACACCAAAAAGAAACAGTTGGTAATATTTTTTTAAATCAGCGCGTCACACATTGTCGTAAATCTACGAACTTAGAGATGTTATGTCACAACTTCATTTCACGCATCGACTTTTCATGTTATACATTTCAGCCGAAATAAAATGTTCTAATAGATTCGTGGTATAGTAGTTGTTAATAACGATAACTTCAGCGTATATCAGCGTGCTACGTTTACGAAACTTGGAATGCCATGGAATGGACAAGACAAGTGCTTATGTGATCAACCGGTACATATATTATTACTCAACAAACAACAAGTTTGATGATCAATAATAACATCTCACAATTATGGTGAAGCATATCAAATATGCCTAACCAACTCAACTTCGTTACATTTGAGCTTCAAACATGGTACCCTACTATTTTAAACGTGTCTTCTCAGAGTTTTCTGCTCAAAGAAGAGCGTTTTATCTCTTATCGGGAGTCGAATTACAGAATATCTAAAAGTAAACAGTATAAGATTATCTAGTAGTACATACAAACTGGACACGATAGGATGATAATGTTTATGATCAATACAGTGAGCGTCGAACGTTACTCTAAGGCTCCTTCCATACACGCGTTTCTTTTACATATTCTAACATCATTCAGAATTTAGAATTAAAAATAAAACAAAAAAAATTGCATTATAATAGTAAATATAATAATAAAAATTAGTCAGCCAAACTGTATTCTTTATAGTTCGTCCTTCATTACCAATTGTACTATATTTTAACACTAAAAAATGATAAAGCATGTCTACTTTCTTAACCATTTAAGTAGTTAATTAATTTTAAAGGAAAATACTGCTTTCAGTTTGTTGAACTGCATTGGATATTTCTTTTTTTTTCGTATAGCAGCCAGAATGAATTAATATTAATACATTGATCCACTTTATACAATCAGAAGATTCAAAAATGTTGTTTTAGTAAGCAACATGAATCGCCAACTATTTGTATGAAGTGAGTTAAATATGTTAGTCTTATAATTTATATAGTCTTATAATTTTAATCTTACAATTTAAAAATCTTATGCACGTTTACTTAGTGGAAAAGGAAGCAAACTTTAATTCTTTTACTACAGTAAATATACAATATCTAGTATCGCTATTTATACCAATTATGTAAATGTTTGTCACTAATGAACAAAACTATTAACAAAATTAAAATCAATAATGTATTGTATCGAACTAAAAAAAAAAAAACAACTTCCTTTTTTACTAACCAAAATGAGCATTTGTAAACGCGTGCACTAAAAGATGCCAAAGCACAACATATACGCACATACGCACAACATTACGGAGTATACAATTACGATTGTTTTAGTTCACAATAATGGTAATGCTTGATAAAATTCAATAAATGAATGTCGAAGCCTGAAATTTCATAAATTGTTTCAAGGGCTTACGATACGGATTCATTTCATACAGTTTTAGAGAATTATCGTGTAAGGTATCAGCTTACATCACCCAACTATTTGAGATTCCCCCGCGCACTTTTTATATGCAGAACATTCGTATCAAGAAGTGACTCAAGTGATCTTTGACTAGATGGCGATCTTTTCGAAAATTGCGCGTACGATAATCCATTAAAGAATGCGTCTTATTAGTAATAATCTCATCGATTTCTATCTCTACATATAGCTGCATAATATAACATCGGGGAACTATGTGTAACAGATACTATAGAGGAACTCTTAGCTGTTGATTATAACAATAGCTAAAAGAGGGAGATTTTTTTCTTTCATTGACTAGCACTACCGGTACATGTTGATCGATTAGCATTTACGAAAAGATTGCATCGAAAGAAAGTCACACTCATAAAACGTTTAACAATCAGTTTGGGTACAGCGCGAGAAGAATTTAAAAACAAAAAGTGACACTACGTACCGTACCATTAATCAGTTACAAAATAAAAATTGTCGAGAATGTGTCATACTGTTTCACTTAGAATTACTATCGTGAAATGTACTTTCACGAAAAGAATCTATAATTCGTTCATAATGATTTGTATTAAAACGAATTAACGATTCAAAGCGTAATTATTCAATAATTTTCAGTGTTCCATGGTTATTAATATACGCGCTGACGATAATCAGTCGCTACATACAGCCTCCTAATAAAATAACGTCTATAAAAAGTTTTAAAACAATCAACAAAGATGTATAAATTTACTAAATAGAAGTAAAGAGGTATAATGCCAAAGAGGCCATTTCCTAATGTCTTTCTTTCTTTGTTTTTTCTTTTGGAAACGCTTAAAAGCGACACTTTCGCGGGAACGATTCACATCTTTTTCCCGTTTTAATACTCAGAGTTCTGGCATTACGAATTCTCTTCATATTGCTGGTACTAATTGTTTAGTCCAACGAATCTGGATCTGCTAACAATTTTAAATGATACAAAAAATAATTTATGAAAGACAAGATTTTAAAAAATATCATATAATATCATTAATATTTACCTGGAGAAGGAGATCCTTTGACTCTACAAGTGTTATAACTTCCACAATTTAAACATTTCAAACCTACAATATGGAATTTTACTGTTGACTCCTAAAACAATAAAAAAATTTAATAGTCCAAATTATTATTGTTTTTTAATCATATGAAACATATAATCCAAATATTTAAGATACAATTTCTATCTTTACCTCATGGCAGTCTTTGCACAGAATATCAACTTTATAATCCTTATACTCTTCTGGCATTGGTGTTGACGATACTTCCATATCTAAAAATCTCCATAGATCAGTCATATCCAGAAGAGATACTTGGCAAGTTGGACACGCATAATGTCCTGAATGTAACAATTCCTCAAAACACGTGCGATGAAGTAAATGGCCACAGTTTGGAATGTGACAGGGTATACGACTTGTATGAATATCTTCCAAACAGACTGGACAATTTGCATGAGAAACATTTTCTACACACTGCAAATATTAGGTAATGTATTTAATATATTATACACAATGAACACTCTTTATAGCTAGGCATGCAATATAATTTCATGGACATTTAACACAATTGTATGGCATGTTACATACCGTATGTCCATTTTGTAACTGAACGGGTAAACACATATTGCACTTGGCACAATGGAAAAATCGGTCACTACCGCCAACCCTGCATATCCCACAGCCATCGCAATGATACTGATTCTTGTCTTCGTCATCGAACAAATTGCACTCAAGACACGTATATTTACCGAACCGACAGTGACAATTTTGGCAAGTAGCTTGTACTGGTTGACGGGTGTCGCATAAAACGCATATTAGTTCTGTAACTTCCTTTCTGTTTACTGTATGAGTCTCCTCCTTATCGTGGCAGAACCGACACGTGTACACCTTGTTGCAACATGGTGTCTAAAAAAAAAAGAAAAAATAAAAGATGAAGTAAATGGTGACTTCTAAATGTGCTGCACATTTTTAAATTTAAACTTTCAATTAGGACAGTACAAAAATGTGTCATCAACGATCCTTATACACTTTAGAAAACGAAGGCCTTAGATAATAATCCAATTAGCCCCCATATGAATCCGTCCTTGATCCTTCACCCTTTCGATGCAGCAGACGTTTATAAACGTTCGGCAAATCCGTTATACAGTGTACGGTGAACGCAAATCAGCATATGGAGAATATGGTAACATACCTTCTATAGAACTAACTTTGCACGTGCTACGTTTAACAATAACCAAAAAAATAATTACGTAAATCAGATGAAGAATCAAATATTAAAAATTATTGACTATGTGCATTTTTATATTAAAAACGATTGTAATGATTTATTTACAAATTTTTTATGCAATACTGATTTAAGATTGAGTGTCGAAATGAATTATCAAATTCTTAATTTTATTATTGTACCGATTGAATCAAACATCGTAACAGATATCGATCATGATTATAGAGCTTTTATTAGATGGCGCACATGGTAGCCATTCTAGTATCCCACGTGCCATCGAAACATGTGTTATAATAGACGTTTAAACGTCTCTCCACAAATTAAATGTTTTTGATTTAGGTTGTTATTATAAAAATATTAATTTTGACCAAGTAATAGTTTGTTAGAATAACATTATTTAATGCAACATTCTATGTCCAAAAATATTTTATAATTAGTTATCAAATTCAAGTAATAAAGACCGTAAAGTACACAGTATGATATTTTAAGCACTTGAAAAATATTTAAATTTATAGGTATGTATCAACCTAAAATTTCATCCATTGCGGAAATTTTTAGCGTAATTTTTTTAAATATATTAGCACCTTTAAAAATACTAATCATACAAAAAATTAAAAAAAAGAGAAAAAAAGAATTTAAATACCGTGTACTTCTCCAGTAAGATGTAACGTACACAGCGTTTCCTCAATCGTAAGCCTATCTAGATTATTCACGATGCTGCTCTCTTGGACAATATTTGAGTAACAAAAATTTCAGTGTCTTATCTTTATGCGCTCAGGTAAATAAGGTGAGTCGTATAGGTAAGAAGCCAATGCATGTTCCACCAATAGATAAAAATTCAGATCTTTCAATTATTCATTAAAAAGGAATAAAAGAAAAACTGTAATTATGCCTTCCTTTTCTCAGACAACGCAGAAGCACTGGTCGCTGGCAGCAGCACACGACATTTGACTTATCGCGGCAATTGGTAAGCAACACTTTGAAAGAGGGCGTCTCGTTACACAACACATGGCTGAACTTCATCGATTTGTTTGCTGCGTACACACACGACGTAAGGAACGTGCGTTCGTATTTACACACGGTGAATAGAAAAAGCTCGTGTACGAGCAATTTCGGTGTCAGTTGTTAATTGTAAGACCGCTATGCGTGTCGTTTATTTTAGGAACGTTTACACTATCGATTATTCAGCAAGTTCAAGGGTACCATAAAATATCGAAATTACATTTTCGAATTTTCCAATTTATCCATAGAAATTTAAGTAGACCACTCTATGGATGCTATTCGAATTTTATTTATTGTTTTAGGCGACATCTGAAACGCTTTTTCAAAAGTGTAAGTTCGATTTATTGGTCGAATGAAGATTCATTGTAATAACCAGCAATAAATCGATAATTGTCAACCGTTAATTCGCAATGCAGGTTTCTTAAGCCCATCAGCCAATCAAATTTATCGTTTGAGTGATTTCAAATACGATTACACTCGCAATAATGCAATGCAAACGAACAAATAAACTATTAGTGACATCTGACATTATAAATTCACCAATATATTCGAAAGTCAAATTTGTTATATAAAAAATCTTAACAATCCTGCCTTCTGCTTTAACTAACTCGAAATACATACTCATAGGAGCGCTGTTACGCGAATTAATATAATTAACTGTTAACCGGTGACGTGCGTTGCTTACGACCACTTAACGGGCCAATTAATGATATACATAAAGAAGATCTATTGGCGCTTATTACATTGTCACTAGACTTGTTTAGAATTAAATTACAAAATTTCGATGAATATGTATGAACTTGTATGATGATACATCGCGGGAAGAAACTCGAGAGTCGACAAGAACGAAATCAACGCGAACCGTGACAAGTTTGAAAAATGGTTGACACAGAATGAAACCATAGTGATTCGCGAAAGAATTACAAACGGTATTCAGAAAGAGCACGCTGTTTCGCGGTTGAAAAGCGCAAACTGATCATTGAACATCTGCGTGATCAAAGCTGAAAACAGAGCGACACGCATATATGTGTATCCGTGAGATGGAAGGGAACCGACTCACGAAGACTCACCACAAACTTGGACTTTCGCTTGTAATGCTCGCAGCCGTAATCATCATCTGCCGTCGCTTCCAAGGGTTCCTCCTTCGACGTCGACGCACGTTCGGTCACGGTGCGCGCTTCGTTGTTATTCTCCATATCTCTCGATGATCCTAAATTCCTGCCTCTTTCTCCTCCGCCGCCTCCTTCTTCTCATCGACTTGCACGTCCTTTCCAGATTTTCTTGCGGCGTATCCGATTAACACCACTTGGCCACAGTTTGTTTGTTTAATTAACACGCTGGCGGCGATTCAAAAACGGCGGAAAAAGAACACCGACGTCAAACGTTCGGATCACGCGCTGAATAACAGCGAGCCAGAGCTGTTTATTCTATGTGAACACGGAAGCCGTCAACCTGAGCCGACGGGAAATGTTTCAAGCCTCGTGTGTCCAATCGTGAAGAGAAAATTGAACCGTGCCATCATCTGTAGGCAGCGTACCACACTGTTCTCTACGTTGCAATCGTTTTAAAAAAAGAATTTCACGGTTTGCTCCGGAGATCGTGGGATTTTCGTTGTACGTCCGATCGGAAAATTCGATAGCATTCGTTTATCTGTTACGAAACGACGTACGACCAAATAGCCATCACTTCTCGGTAATTTCAGAGAAAAACGAATCGATACTTGCTACTTCTGACACTACTCCACTTCGTTGTACTATCACCACGGTGTAATGATTACAACGGCAGACGACGTTCGGAAAAAAGGATGCAAAACTATGGCCGGAAGTTGTGACGACGCGACGAGGTACTACGACGCTTTCATAAGTACACATCCGACCCGCGAAGATTTAAATGTACTCGTGACAAACAATTTGTGTCATAAATTACTAACTTTTGACCCAATAATTTGTTGTGTAACTGTTCTTTATTACATTCTATAAAATATTTTCGCATGAGGTAGTAAATGTAAAAGTATAAATATATACATTAAAAGTAAGAGTTTAAAGCAAAGTTCTCCAATTGGTCTTCTATAAAGTAATAGTCAAATGGAATTTGTTTTACACATTGTTCGTTCTATCACCGATGATACACAACTCAATCTAAAAACTCTTTTCTCACTTTTTTCTATTAATTCATATTGCAATTAATTCATTTATTTATATATTACATGGATAAATTGAATTGTGCAAATCCACCAATCGGCTACCGTCTTTTTAATTAATATAGTATAAAACGTATGATAAATTATCGTTTTGTAAGGAACACAACATTCTTTAGTTATTAACAACTTAGCAACAATAATTAAATTTGAGTACAATTTTAACCAAATATTATTTTATACCATTTGTTTAAAATAAGTAACAAATACAAAATATAGAAACTTTGTTTCCATTATAGTGGTCATTCGTTTGTATGGTATCACTGTAAAAATGTACAGAGTAAAATGGTGAAAGATGGGTGTTAAACTGTGATGAAAAGCAAATTCGTTATCTCTAATCTGGGTTGATTGTTAATAAAATATCAATATCAGTGTGTTTCCTTAAGTGGCATTGAATCATTTATAATAATTGTGTAACACATTCATCAATGTTGAAATGAAGAAAAAATTCGTCATGTATGACGACTCTCAGAAATTATATGTTAGACTCACGCAGTTCGCCCCGCACGGGTTCTGCATTCTGTCGGACTAATGACCAATGGCTTTATTTGAGAAACGATACACAAATAAAGTGCTACTAGATGATACAGAAAAGTTGACAAGCGTCATTGAAAATGCAAAAACAATTGACGGACACACGGTATAGCGCATGCTTCCTGTGTATATTTTGACATTTGCTCGATAGAACATGAAGTTTACACATGAGTTTTCGCTCCAATCTCATGTTATTGAATTAGTAACGGTCATTGTTGTTCTTTATATAACATTTTCGATAGTATTCTTGTTTTAAAGATTAGATATTTCTAAATATTGTTGTTTTTCTACGAATAAAATTATTGTTGTTTAATGAACTTTCATATTTATAATGTGTTAAAAAAAATGATATATATGTTTGAAAAATATTTAAAAACTTATTCGGATGATAACTTGTATCTGCACTGAACTATGTAATATAGAATATAAATATGTTACATAATGTAGAATTACAAATTTTGAATATGTTTCTTATAATAATTTAGGAGTACGTGATTAGAACACAAAGAGGTCCACTTCCAGAAAAATCTTGGAGAGTTAGTAGACGCTACAATGACTTTATACAGCTCAATGCAACTTTATCAATATCAGGTATTGACCTGGCACTTCCTCCAAAAAAAATTATTGGTAATATGGAACCAGACTTCATAGCTCAACGTCAAGTAGCCCTACAGGTTAGTCATATTATAATAAAAGGATAACTATTAAGTATCAGTTTATTATAATTTTATTTTATTTGCCTTCAGAATTACCTAAACAATATACTAATGAATCCTATATTGGCATCGTCACTTCCTATGAAAAAATTCTTAGATCCAGATAATTATACAGCACCATTACATGGTATGATTTAATTATAATAATGAATGTAATAATGTAATTAAAAGTGAAATGTACATATGTTTAAGTAAATAACAGTTATAGATAATATTTTAAATATTAAAATAAATTTATTACTATAAATTATAAGTAATGAATTTTTGAGTAGATTTTCATATGCAGTTTTAATTTTCAGAAATAGCTCTGCAACAAGTATCACTAGCTTTACGCAGTGATGCAAATTTTGAAGTTTCTAAGGCCATTCCTGACATGGGATGGCGATTAAGAAAGCATTATTATACTGTAAAAAATCGTCAAAATCCTAAACAAGAGTTACTACTTGCATGGGTGGAATTTGGTCCAGACAAACACTTGCAAGACAAAGATATGCAAGGTGTTTTCAAAAGTTTAGGAACATTGAAGCATAATTATATCGAATCAATTGTCTGTCAACATGTGACAGAAAATGGAGCATTAATGATAAGAAATTTTTATCCCACGGGTACATTACGTGACATTTTGTGTGTGACTAAACCCAAACAACCATTTATAAAAAAGTATGGAAATCCAAAACAAACCAAATCATTAACAGTGCCTGAAATTGCTATGTATGGTTACCAGGTTAGCAAACTAATATTTTGTATTAAAATAATAGAGCTACAAATTATGGAACTAATTAATTGTCATTTTAGATTCTAGAAGCTTTAAGATTTCTTCATGAAAAGGGTTTACCATACGGACATTTACATACAGGAAATATTCTTTTAACTCAGAGATGTGCAAAATTGTTAGATATAGAAAATGGCCTTCTAGGCTTACCGGCATTTTATCGTCCTTATGTTGTACAACGTCGTAAACTTCATGCTACGGTATATTTAATATTATTTTATTTTTAGACATGTTGCAAATCTTTTAATATGTTAAATATATATCTACTTTTTATCTTTTATAGACTCAAGTAGACGTTTATTCGTTTGGACATGTATTATATGAAATGGCATTTGGAAGACCGCTGTTAGAAGCAACATGTGCAGAATTACCATATTGCGAAGCAACTCTAAAATGTTTGTTGGAAGTGATACTCTCACCAGAAGCCCTAAAACAAGATCTACCTACGGTATCGCATTTATCAGAACACCCGTTCTTTGAATCAGCAAAACACGCTGCATTAGCTGCTGGATCTATTGAAAGACCATACTTCAAATTGAATAGTCATTTGAAAGAAGCCCTTCACGAAGCAGTAAACAAAGCAGAACAAAGGTTAAAAGACGAACAAAAGGTAGCGCGTCATCAGAAAAGACTTGTCAAAGTACAGGAAATGATGAGTTCGGAAGAAGAGATGAAAAAACGAAAACAGAAACTAGTAAATATCATTATATTTAAATGTCATGTTAAAATGTTGATATATTTCGTCAAATAAAAATAAATCGATGTTTTTTTGTTTCTAGAAGAAGGAGCAAAAATTAGCACAAGAACAACGTTCTGCGAATCAATTAAGTGCTAACGGAATGAAACACGTAAATGGCAAGAGCCCAGAACGCTCGGACAGTCCCACAAGTACTTCTACGGTAACAAGCGTTGGGACCTTAACACCACCATCGCTGCGTAAGTATCAAACTAGTTCTCCAATAACTTTCATTAACAACTACCATTAATTGACCTTCCTAATTTTTATATTAGCTGGGCACAAAAGTTGATGGCGCATACTACGCTTATTTCTTTCACGTAGGTCGTATGATCACTCAAAGACTAATTGTACACATTCATGCATTTTCTCATTTACTCATCGCTTGGAAACATCACAAATGTATATAAATTATGAAATGTATATTTTCGGTTTGAGTTTCGGTTTTGGTTTGAGTATTTTACATTATAATTTGCTGTAAGTGGCGTTAACTGTTACATATTTTTGTAATATGTAAGATAATTATTAAAAGACTAAACATGGTGTAATCGTATGTGTCCAAGCGATGTTATAGATATTATAAAAGATTATAGTTTATTTAACTAAAGGTTCTATAGATGTGCCGCAAGATGATGGAGTTCCTGCTAAGAGTATTATACCACCACCTCCGTCACAGTTACCGCCACCTGTTGATGTGGCAAATAGTGGTTCAAGATTGACCAACGAACGAGCTGCTCTGCTTGGAAGTATTTGTAATTTTAATAAAACTAGTCTTCGTAACGTTGCCAATGGATATTATTGAGGGCGATAAAGTTAGATAATTTCAAGAAAATAGTGCTGGACGATTGTATTGATTTATAAAGAGAAAGGAAATGTATGACCAGAATCTATACCAAAAGGATGCTATTTTTTTTTATTGAATCATGGTGATATTTATAATTTTACTTCGATCGCGATACTTGTGAGATCTATATATATGTATACATATTTAAATACTCTAGAATCCTAAAATGTATATTGCATAGAAATAGGTAATCGTAAATCGTATATTTACATATAATGTATAGAATGATTCTATTTGTGTATGTTAGCGACATGAATCGTTGTTAGAATTGAGCAATATTTAAATATTATTTGTTATTTTTTATTCCTTGAACATCGTTCGAAAATAAAATCGAAATTGTAAAGGGATTAATTAAAGTATCAAATAATCTTTAAATAAAATGTTTTTTTTTCTATGTCATATTTGTACATGTATCATGTAAAGCATCATAATTAGTAGAAATTAATCTTCCCTTTAACTGTATTTAAATCTATGAAGGAAAAGTTGTTAATTAATATTATTTATGAAATAATATTATATATTTCAAGTATGAAGTTCATTTACTTCGATCCAAGTCTCGCGATCGAACTGTTGCTCGTCTTGCTTCATGTTTTGTTTATGTAATTGTAGGAAAATTAAAATAAGTGATAAGACGAGAGTGATAATATCTACATGTATTACATAAATTTTGCCTCGTTAGTGTTATATACCGTTTTGTCTATTTAAAGTTTATGGTATATATATCGTATTATTCCAGATTCCATTTGTCATGTAAGAATGAGTATTGAATGTTGCTTTTACTATGTCACCTATAAAATCAGAATTATATTTCTACGGAAGGAGAAAACGTGCCAAGATATACCCGATTTTACCATTGAAAAATATCGCAAAAATGAATGATGACGTAATATATTTCTGTATGGTATAAAAAAAAGGTATATATGTACAAGATTATCTGTGAATGTCCGTAATGAAATGATGTAATACTGTCACATTTTTCATACGTAATATTAGTCTTAATGTAATTTGTTAAATTGTCCGTACAAATACTCTTCTGCATAGAGTAATATAAATATTTGTTTTATCAATAATCATGAAAATATGATTGAAACAAATTCTGTATTTGTTAAGAAAGGTAATATAACTTATATAATTTGAAGATCTTTAAACGTATTAATATATACGCCAAATCAAATAATTTTTTGTTTTCGAGGAATATTTATATATTATCTTGTAATGATATTCAGAGTATTTCTTTAAACGATATACTGTGGTATGAAAAATAATTTATTAAAACGGAAGACGACGTAAAAAAGTATCATAGTACATTTGAATAATACTTGCATTTAGTACAACACATTGTAGAAAATAGTTTTTTCTTGAAACTATTTTACTACTTACATTGAAAATTTAATAAATACAAAATATGCATATCTTTGCAGTATTTTTATCATTCGAAGTGTCTTTAGTACAATTACTGTAAATTCTTATAATATCAAAAATATATGTGTGCATGTAGCTACCTAAATGTGTAATAATTGATTATAAGCACTGCAATTTTATTATGTTGTGCTCGATGGCGTTAAACGCTTTGAAGTTCAACAAATATAAGTTCGGTTCAATTAAATCTAACTTAATTTCTGTGGTTTTTGTAAACTCATTTTCCTTACCTTCTTCCTTTAATGCAGTTATATTCAAATTATACGAAACCATAAAATAGATTTTAGTATAAGCAAAATAAATTCAGTGAATCGTACAAAGATTATACACAAAGATTGTACACTGTTGTATAATCACAAATTATGAAGTTCTGTGATATTAAAAAGTTGACATATGAAACAAATGATGCCATGCAGTACAGTGACACAGTTTTAATGTTACATTTTATGAACTTTCGTAATTTGTGACTATGTTAAAATTTCTTCTATAAACAATCGCAACAAGTCTTTATGTAATATACTATGACGATTCTTTTATGTGTACTTAGGTACGTATATACACTGTTATACATAGATGGTGTAACCGTGAAATATTATGGCATTCTTAAGACTTCAAAAAGTGTAATTGGTCATAATATTCTTCTCATCCCATTTTTGTTTTTTACAAAGAAGAAAAAAATCTAAATCGTACGTGCCGATACGTGCATTATATCACACGATTGCGTATGTATTACTGAAATATCGTCAACAGGAGAATATCCCTGGATAAAAATTGAAGACGTGTATCACCTACCGTCATATTAAAATTCATGTTTTATTTTTTGGTAAATTAAAGCTAATCGGGTTGACAATAAGAATGTCTCCCGTATGGTCATCATGAGTTTTTGTGAAGTTCTTCTGTGATTATTTTCAATCTAGAAAAACATATTAATTATCATAAAAATGTAAATTATTATTATTCTAACTAATATAACAAATTATTGAGATGTAAAAGGGCAGTTTACTTTAAAAGTTCGTCTTGAATACGATCCGTAATCGCTTTTCTTGCTTCCACTTCGCTCGCATTGGACGCACGTAATTCTTTTATTAATTCGCTAAAATCTATTGGTTTGCCATAATTCATGGTGACCTTTTTACGAATTTTCAATCGATACGGGTACTCATTCGGAAGAACTTGGTCCATGCCAAGATGATAAATTGGAATTACCAATGGTGTAACAGGTGATTCCAATATTAATCTCCCAATGCCCCACTTTAATCTACAAAAGATATAAAACATCCAACTTTATAAAATTATATCTTTATCAGGTATAAAAGAGAAAGTGAAATAAAAGATAATAGAATAGACAAAAAAAGATAATTCGAACCTCATATTCTCTTTGAGCATATTTATTTTTCCCTCGGGAAAGACGTGAACCCAATCACCAGCGGCTAATTTTTCAATGCAGAAATCCATGGCTTGCTGATACACACCGTCACCTCTGATTACAGGAATGCATTTTCCCAGCATAAAGAAGTAAGAATGCCAGAAGTTCGTGAAACAAATGTCGTGGGCTGCGAGCGACCATCTCATCTTACGACGATTCAGCATATCCTTCAGGTCCAGGGTCGCTAAATGAGTTCAGAGATTTTTCTGTCTTAAATTCGTTCATTCGATCGCTTATCGATGGTCATTCTGAGGAAGAAAAGATTATATATGTTTCAGGAAGAGGGGAATGCGTGTGCATCTATAGGTATGTATATGTACGTGTGTGTACATGTGTCTAAATAATCGATAATTAACGAAACAATATAGAAAGAGTTCGTGGAACTTAATAATGCAATTCTCTATGTATATCGTTTCGTTTTTGCAAGAAATCAATTATAACATATGATTGAACTAGAAATTTATTCTACTGTAATCTATTTATATAATGAAAAAAGTAATCTATCGATGTATAGGCTCTTCAAAAATTGTAATAATTTTAAAATATACCGTAAAAGGCAACATTTTGAACAATTTGATTGTCAAACAACAGATTGTTTATACTAAGTACTGTTATTCCTTAATGCAAACACGTATATACCACGATTATACAGCTAATTTTTATGCTGTGCAAGTTAATTAAAAGCTATTCAAATTTTAAACCTTTGAATAGGAAGAGCCACTTCGGCATTCACATATGTTGCAAAAATTTAACCTAATACAACCTAATCTTGGATTAAATACAGGATAAAATTATTCGATTTAACCAGAGCTTAAATTATACTAGGTTAAATTTTCGAAGAGCATTCGCTCGAATGTTAAAATTTTAAACAAATCAAGTACGCTATAAAAATTAGCAGTGCTACCGTGGTGTATTAGCCGTTGATCCAAAGAATATTTAATGTACATAATACATCTGCCAATCGGTAGACATCAGTGATTTTTGTCATTGGATCTCCTGTAATAGCAAAAGTATTTTAATGTCTCGAAAATTAAGGTTAATCACCGGCCATCTGTATAGAAAAAATTGCTCAAAATGTTACCTTTTACAACATATTCCAAAATTATCAAAATCGATGGGGAACCAGTACATTTATAAATTCGCTAAACAAAGAAAATATTACGTTCATATAATAGCCATCTATAAAAAAAGTAAAATATCCTTCAGGTCTAATTGTTCAAATCTGAAAAAAGTCATTATAACTAAAAAATTGTTCCATTGACTTTAATACATTTTGTTATAGTTATGGTACATATATATGTACCATAAAATGTTTGCTAAGAAAGTACAATAATGAAGATAAAAAAGTACGTCAATCAAATAGTATTGAATCTATTTAACAGAGACTACAATCGATATGGTGGTTAGATTAAACTATGTCAGGAGAACTTACCCCATATACCAGGATCGTCAAAGCAACTGTGATGATTCGATACAGTGATAAGTGGCACGTTTTTCGGCCGATTGTTCAACGCTCGATCGAAGATATGCTTGTTGTAGACTGTCGTCCTGTTCAGCCATTCTTAAACAGCACGAATAGAAAAAACCTTCGGTAAATTAAATTGCATATTAGAAAAGAATGTATAGAATAGAGTGAATACTTCGTATGGAATTCGTAGATATTTCATACTTAGTCGTCATGATACACACTTCATCTCGATTTAGAGCAGAATTGGCTCATTCTAATATATTTTATGTATACTTAATGAATCGTAACCTGCACTCGCACCTCGTCGAATACCAGAAGTTCAAAGTAGAACAGCAAATAATTGTTCTCTTGAAATTGAAAAATTTTATTTTTATTATAACTGTTATGAAAATCGATTATGTGATCGTATGAGATAATTTTCATGAAATAATTTATAATTGTTCTAAAAATCTTAGGAAGGATGACAAAGATGTTTCTAATTGAACAATAAGAGTACATTGAAGGTTAAAACTGTTTACCATCTTGAAAATAATTTTCTGTACTTTTTTGTGCTTCAGAATTGTGTAAACTTCACAAGTGAGTTCGATAACCTTCGCAGGTCTTTCGAAATCATAGATACGTAGTAAAATGATCTTAGAAAGATGTATTGATGATAAAATAAAATTGAAAAAATTCGATAGTTTGTTGTGAAAAATAAATGATATGATATGTTATATCACTGAATGAGATACAGAGTTTCGATGAGTAAATCTAACATCATGATGATGCTTCCTGGATATCCCGTCAGATGGCCTACGAATCAATCTCTATTTTCATAATTCTCACATTAATTATGCCAGCTACATTGAATTATGGTCTCTGCACTAGTAATGGAACATATTAAAATTTAAATATTCATTCAGATTACCTAATACGAATCACTTCGTCCAGTAGAAGCAAATTTGTATTAAAAATATAATGAACAGAAAAACTATTGGTTATGTAAAATCTATAAATGCGACTAGAAGATGAAACTGAATTAGGAGAAACGAATGGCGACTATTACACGGATAAATTGATAAAGCGAATAAATAGAGAGGAGCAGAAAAGAAAGGTAAAGAATGTAGGAAGGTGGTGGGGGTTACTTGAGTATGGCGTATTATGATCAACCAATTGAGTAATTGGTTAATTTCCGTAGTCTATTGACTCAAAGCTAAGCTAACACTGAACCGAATTCATTGTAAATCAGTGATATTCACTGAAAGACCAGCGAGGGCAAATGACTGATTTCCTGTGCCCTTTGTTGGGCAGTAATATGTACCTGAGCCTTCCTGAAATTAAAAACGTAAAATCTCGCAAAACATAGTAAAAATAATAGAAAATGAAAATTCCGGTTCTAAGACAACACGCAATAATTTGGAAGAATTATCTGATAAGATTAAAATGAAAATAATTAGGTATAATCTCTCACTACATGCATGAATAACACTACAAATGAACATACGTTAATTTATAATTAACAATAAAGCTACATCGAATAAAATGAAAAAAGGTTATGAGTTATGTGAATATGGTCATAATTAAATGAACGTTCGATATGTCGCGCAGTGATACATGTGCCGTGACCAATTCTACCGCAATGAAGTGTGTAAAAGATAATTAAATGTCAAGTATTGAATTTTTATTCGCATTTGTTTATTGCATGTTATTCTATTTTTTTATATGATCTTTTCTCAATTTTATCCATATATAGGTATACGTTTAAAGAATACGCGCTAAATTCAAAAATTGAATTGCAACTGTATAGAAAGGAAACAATAGTGAAAGTGATAAAAATAACAATCACTGTATAGCTATAGTGGACGAAATGTGATTTCGAATTAAATGTTAAACTTACATACGTTTACTGATGTAAAGATTACTTAAAAATTGCAAAAAAATACGTAGGAATATAACCTCTGTGATAAGCATTATGTACAACTTTCAATTACAGCAATGTGAGTTTACGGTACGTTATATACCATACACAATTTCAATTGATAACGGATTTACTGAGAAATCACTATACATGATAAAATAACATGACTTCTAGAATCATTTATTTCAAGTGTTATTAATTTATTCCATAAAGAAATACTTGCATGTGCTACAGTACAATTCAGTAATATACACAAAATTTAATTGTTGTTCAACAATTAAAAATTGTCAGTTTATCATACATTATTTTTATAAATTCATTATGACCACAGAAAATACGAATATACAGACAGCTTACGTTAGATAAAGTTTTTACATCAGTTTTACGACAATCATTAAAATTCATTTAACTGAATTCACAGTATACATTATTACATAAAGCAATATCTTTTTTTTTTACGTATAGTGTTTTTTACGCTTAGATGAACACACAAGATTTATCTTCTTAATATACTATCTGTTTAGATACCTTTTTAGTTTCATCGCGAACAGAAATTATCAGTATAATACACTACTTATCTTATGAATTAGTACTTTATGCTTATATACTTTACGAATGTACTTAAAAACAGCAAAATTTTTAATATATAAATAACAACTTTTAAATATAAATCCGAACGATTACTAATGAATAAACATATTAATATCAAGAAATAAGCAGTACTGATTTTTATTTTAAAAACCGGCTCGTGTAGCCGCTTACCTATAATGATTTTAGAGAAAATCCCTACTGCTACAAAGGTTATACTACTAGCAATATTCCAGAGGCTGGTCGGATTTCGAAGCTTCGGTATAATCCATTTGATGTCGTATACCATTGCACTACCTTCCGTTAGTTAAATTGATGGAATAAATAGCTGTGTGGCACTTCTTCCGGACGACTGGGAAGCGCCTTCCCCGCGAGAAATCGTCTACTCTTTCGTAACTCACGACAACCATCTTCGTGCCAACTTCACGCCATATTTCTCGATACCATCACGTGGTTAGCCGATCGTATCCGAATACATCCGAATATTGTCGACTATTACAGTATTTAATTTAAAATTAAAGGCGCTTTAATCACTTCTTTTCGCTTCGACTGTGCTAATATGTTTTGTTATTGAGCTAATTGCTGTTTGTAATTTTCGTTGAATATTTAATTTTCTTTTCGATAAAAAGGTAGGTAATAAAATGTTTACTTATATGATTATCACTTTTACTTACAATAAATATTCTGTTTTTGTAAGTCTTAACATGAGTCTTTACCATAATATATAATATAAATTTGAAATGCCGCCTGTAATATAAATTTGAGTTTACGAATTATTGTAAAATGTTTTTTACCATAGAAAATATAGTAATATAAAAACAATTATTAATCAATTATAAAATTATTAATCAACTTTCTATCTTTTAATTTTACATGACATAAATAAGATTTTACAACGTATAAAATAAAGAGTGATGTAAACAAATATCAATCCGATATTCCATTATAAAGAATGAAAGAAAAATAAGAACGGAAAATTGAATATCGCACGATGACAGAAGAAAACTATTGAATGCAAATTTCTCGACTTAGCCAAACATGAATTTTACTTTTCCAATGATAAATAAATTTATAAGCACATTATTCGAAGTGGTGATCAGTCTCGTTAACACAATTTGAGAATTATGAAAGATACATTATAATAATCATGGTGCACTTGTAGCAAGCGTAATAGTAAACTGTCCGAGAGATTCCAGATAACCATTCACGAGTCGAACGGATGTACAATAAGACACAGATGTCTACGAAGATGCCTCTGGCGGTGACGTTGCACTTGCAATGTCAGCCGAACACCTATCAGAAGCTGTTGCGAGAAAGAACGCTCAATGGTTATGAAGAGGCAGGAGGTGGAGGAGGAGGCGTGTACGATGATCGAATACATACATTAGGAGCTTCAGGTTAAGTTCATGCGCAGAGGAAGAAAGGACGAAGTACGGGAGCATCGAAAGAGGTGAAAAAGAAGGGAAAAGATACAATGATGCGAAGCAAAGTCGTCGGCCGCGGGGGAAGGATGAGAGGAGAATGTCCGGTGGCATGTGAGAAGTGGGGGCCTGACGCGAGCAGAGAAGCAACCAGTCGAAGAGGCACGAAAGTGGGGGAAAAGGGCCTCATCTGAACAGCCAGTCCGATTCGAGTCTCTCGACTGCGTGTTGCCGTGCTATCGTACATACGAGGTACCCTTCCAGTTTACAACTGTGAGAGGATACCTTGAAGCATCATACCAAGGCAAATCGTGTACCATTCGAGAATCGACCGCAAAGTGTCTTCTTCGTGACGTATATATTTCTTCTGTTCATTCGTTTTTCAAGAAAACGACGCGTTTCCAGAGCAAAACACTATCGAACCTGAAACAATCGAATCGAATATTGATTAATATAAAAATGCGATTAACGCCAAAGGTCGACCAACTCGTTCGGACGAAGCTTTTTTATTTATCTTTATTCACCTGTATAACCTTGAGATGACAGTTCCGACGGTGGCGTTAGTGCTACTGCCGACAATGCGCTCGTCTTACAGTAAGCTTCTCGATCGTTGAACCGCGAACGGTTATCGAACACGTCCGTGAAGTGATGATGTCCACCCTCTGTGAAACATGAGAGACTCGTCAGTGATGCGATAATAGGAGAAAGAAAAAAAACAAAACAATACCAAAAGAGAGATTACGTATCAGTGGGATCGAGAGAAAGAGAAAGGAAAGGCGAAGAAAAGAGAAACAGAGCGAGAGGGAAGAGAGCGAGTCGAGCGTTCAGCTTGACTCGAGTGCAGTGTACGGTGATGCCGCGAGGATGCCACCATCGTCGGTCCTTTCGACACGATATAGGACGGCGCGACGGTATCCCGTGATCTGTCGGGGCCCCACGACTGTGTGCCACGACTGTGTGCCACGACATTGGGCTATTACTCGCGCGGTGCGGTGCAAGTGCAAGTGCAGGTGCAACTGTGAAGTGGTGCCAGTTCAACGACGAGAGCGTACGTGCAGGATATTACGCGACGCGAGAAGGAATTCGTGGTCGGCGATGCTGCAAACCAGAAATCTTCGTATTTAGTGATTTGCGAGTGACGCTTTCAAAGACAGGTAGGTTAGTATTCGCGTGTCCGCGCATGTGTGTCGTTACGTGTTACGTGAAAAACGTTCTTTGTTTGAAAACGAGCAATAAAACCGGCATACGAATAACATCCGCGTGAGAAACGGTGAATTCATATTGCAGCAAGTTCTCGCCAGACTCGAGCGACTCAAGCTATCCCAAGCATCGTAGTTTCAGCATCTCGGCTGCAGCAGAGAGAAAGCAACAGGTATGTGTATAGAGTATACGTTCCGTATTCTCGGTGGTTGCACGTTATACGATCGCGTTGCCTGTTGGTCGCGCACGAACGTGCGCATGCTCTTGATCGAAGATCTCGCCATGCACAAGGCAATATACAGCAGGCACCGGTGGACTCTGTGTATGTCTTTCATCGCGGAAGAACTCCAGTTCAGCCGAGTGAGGCGAGGTCGTCTTCTTGTCTCCGCACTCCCGTGCATACAAGTTTTGCTACTTTTCTATTCCTTTACCTTTGAATAAGATGATCCTGTAAAATAGACTCGCATATAGTCACGCAATTCGCATAGAACTTTCTTTCAGTTAATTTCATACCTTTCTCGTGTAAGGGATTCATTTAATATCGCATATGATCAATTTATTTCAATGTTTCATTTAAACCTTCAGAATATAACCATCATTTTGTGCACAAGTTTTGATATCTTGGCAATACACACTGACACTAATTAAACATTGAATTCTCATCGAATTAACTTCCTATTAATTAAGGTTATTTCTATTGTCATTCAATTTTTGAGATGTAGTCATTACCAAAAGTTTGTGTCTTTATTTGCTTAGCCCTTTTCCAAATTTTAGAAATTAACCAAATTTCCCTCGACATTAGTATCAAGTTAACGACGAGCAAAGTTACAAAATGTTTCAATCGCGAAATATATCGATTCTGAAGACGAAACTTCAATTAATGTTATCAACATTGTTATTAACTGCACCAAAACTTCCCGCACGAAAATTGGGTCCCCATTTGGTAATTGTAATAGACCACCTACTCATTTCGGGGAATGTTAATTGGTCGTTTCACGAATTATAAAGCATCAAGGGGAAAGGACTCAACGGCCAGTTGCTATCGCTCCATTAACATACCTGAGTTCATCCTATCGTTGGTGTTGCACACTAGCGACGCTTAACGTTAATGACGCAAAAGGATACTAATTACAGCAACCTGCAGCCACTTCTGTACACCGTACGCCACAGCCCACTTTCCTTACTATTTGTGCTTTCGTTTCGGCCAGCTGTAAGAAGCACCGAAATAAACGAACACGACGTAAATTGGATTTTGAGAGTGATTTCGATTTGTGAGTGTCGGGGTGATGACGGAATCTTTCGTCAGAAAATATACACGTTTGGACGCATGGATGTATGTATAGAATGTTTGTTAAGAACCATAGCGTTGGCTCATTTAATTTTATCGAAGGGCTCTCCGAAGCTTGAAACGTGTATCGAACAAAATTACACACCACGTATACGACTTCTCCGTATATAGCTTTATTAAAAGTGCAACGCGTAGGTAATCTCGTGGTTACGGTGATCAGATGCGCATGATCGTGACCATTTTGTTTGCGGCTATGAAATTTGACTTGCCCTCCCGCAGTATGTTCATCTCATTCGAGATGGTAAATTGCGTGAACTACTGTCGTTCAAGAAGGAATCTGTGCTATTGTGGCAGATGTTGGGTTACGTGATAATATCCAGAAGTGAAGCACGAACATGAAAATGTCAATCTACGATGGAATGTCGGTCAAGAAAGTAATACGGTTATCGACAAAACGTTGATAATGTGTTATTTACGTATCACAGAATAATATTAAATAAAATTGATCCGTATCGGAAGTGATTTGCGGGATTGCATAAAATGATACAGTGACAGAGATATAGTTAATCGTCCGTCTAATTTCTCGGGTATCGTGTTACATGCAACATACAATTGTGTCGGTTAGTAAAGTATCAGGTTTTGTGTGCTCGGCTTAATCGTTCTCTTGTCCTTCGTAATTTTACAAATCGTGGCACGTGACAGTCGCAAGACCGTGAGCGACCTTGTTCCTGTCACGGTCTTTCATAAAACTTCACGTGGTTCAGCTTGCTTTATTGCACATTGGGGGTCGTGTAATGACCGCTGTGGTTAAATTCCTCATCCTTTCTTTTTCTCCGTCGATGTCAATTTTTGTATGCCTACCGTGCGTGGCTATGATCGACCTTCGACATTACCTTCGTTCGCATACGATCGAACCTCCGTCGATAGACGTCCTTTTTGATTTAAAAATTTCGTTTTCGGTTAATTTCATAATCCCGTGGCCCATTTTCCC